ACTTAAGGATTTTCAAGCTGTTGATCATATAATTCCTATAAAATAGATTTTTTAGAAGTGAAAAAATGACTAAATTACCATTGGTGGGAAACAAAGAGCTAAACAGTAGAAGAAAAAGGATATGTAAAACAACCTTACAAGGCTGTAGCCAACGTGCTAACATCATTTATTGAGTAGTTTTATATTCTCCTTGACCAGGTTTCTGCGGTCCTTTCTCTGGATAAATATTTTTAAGTAGTAAAGTGATTACAAACGATAAAAAGGCCACTAAAGTGACTACTATCCTCAGGGCTTTGAACCAATTGGGATAATCTGGCAAAAGAAAAAGTTCATTATGTAATGCTATCCCCAAACCTATTATTACTGTGAGTATAGCTTCACTGAGCCTTTCAGAAACAAGGAAGGCAAACCATGAAAACAGGACAGGAGCTGTACTACTAGCTAAATTTAGGTAGTCTGGTTTGGCTGGACTACCTTCTGGCAGAACAAAACCCCATCTGATCCCTCCCAAGAAAGATAGGAAACTGGCTCCATAAGCCATCTGAGTAAAAGCTAATACGGGGATATAAGTCTTTACCATCACCATGATCAGTGGTGGAGCAAGGAAAGGGATTAGTCCCGCCAGAGATATGTATAATGCTGGCTTTGGGCTGTTAGGCAGGTATGTGATAGTTTTCGGTGGCCTGGCTGGAAGCACTTCTTCCTTTTGCTTCTTCTTAAAGTTGCATGGGGAAGTATGATAGTATTGTGTCTTGCTCACACACACTGGAAATGATGAGGAAGGCCTAGGCCTTAGAAACAAAGGTGAAAAGTTCTGCTGGAGACATGCCTTGAGAGAAAGTGTTTCTATTCTCCTGCTGGCTCCTAGTCCAACTGTGAAAGGGTACTTCAGCATCTACGTAGAGAAAATAAACCAGAAGACAAAAGCGGATTTTTAAAAATGTGTATCACCAAATGTCTTAGTTAATGCCAAACTAGAATAATATAAAAACAAACTATAACTGCTTTCTGTTAGCACATTGAACTTTACAGAAAGGATGGAAAACAGAGT